AAACGACATATATTGCCCAGCGGGAAATCATTTTCCACCTCGTCCGGGCTCAGGTTTAATAGCGACAAATGTCTTGAATATATCCTTAGCCTAAACCACTCTTGGTCTCCGTCTGAATGCGAATAGAACGCCGAAAAATGAATGTGTAAAGGTGGTTCTGTGAACTATTTTGGTGTTGTTTGCAACATTAAAGGGCTTTTATTCCAAATAAAAAGACTGGATCACTTTGCATCTGATCAATCAGTAATAACATCTTTCGTTCGGCATCGTTTTGTCCCCGTATAAGTTTACTGCTCTCCTTTGATTTTTCTGGATCTTCTAATGGCTAACTTTAGGTTGGTGATTATTGGCCTAACAATAATCAGCTGTATATCACAAATTTTCTAGTATGGAACACTTGTGTCCGACAGGATGATGATTGCTGGAAGCTTGCAATTCATTTTTTTCCGATGACATTTAAATGCAAGTCGAATCAAGTAATAATTTGCTTTCATCCTAATTTATTTATTAATCAATTTTATTATTATCCTCTCGCATCAATTTCCACGGAAATTTGACAGTTCCTTATCTGGCTAGAATCCTGGCAAACCAACAGCGCATTCCCTCTGAATTTCTCAGCAACCTTGATGATTGAAATTTTTACTCGTCTTATTTTTTTTATTTCGATAGGATAATGTGTAATTTTTGACAGAAATACGGACATTTATCCATGTTAAAATTGACACAAATACACATGAACGAATGGATTCAGTTTCAGTTTCAGTTTTTACAACCATTAACCATGCACTTTGGTGCGCCGGTTTGGGTTACTGTCTTTTGGTTGCCCATTTGGATAAAAGGCCGAAATGAAGATTGGAATGTCGAAGCAAATTCAAGCGAAAGATGGGGAATACATATAGAGTGGTGTTAGGAAAATAACGAGTGGATGCACGAGCGCCACTGTTTGCGACACCCAGCCATATCACTCAGTGTCTCTAAACATCGGTGACCATCATCCCGAGGTCCCCAGCCAGGGAGCCTAACGGGGCCTATATGACCTAGTCTCCTGGTTAGGGTTTCCATACCCTCCCTGATATCTTCCCTTGCTCGGCAAGTTGAAAATTGAAACTCAACTCTTTAAGTGATTTGAAATGACCGTCCTTCGAACTTCACCTTCACACAAAGTCCTCAGTTCATCCAGTCAACCGTACACTCGGAAGCACTAAACCCGAGCTTCGATATTATTGGAGCTCATCACTAGTGCATATTTACCGTCTCCTACGGACTTTAAAATTCAGATCAGGTAAGCGTGTTGCTACTGTGCCAAACAGCTCTTGCCAAGACTGGACCGAATTAACTATTCAAAACTGTTCACTTATCGCCTTCAGTACACTTTTGGCCTAACCGCAACAAAGGAAGACATAATGGGCCATCTGTTAACTCCGATCAGAAGCCTCCCACAAAGTCAGGTCTTCCATATAGGTTACGGGACGACTTGCCACAAACTTGTTAGACTGGGTTGATAATTCTTATGTAATTAACAGTTACAATAATCCCACAACGTTACTCTCAAGTAACTGTGAGGTATGCGCAAACTCTATAACTTATTTATTAATTCATTCAGATTTTTCTTCCTTATTCTTAAATATGACACAAAATAAAGTTTGTGTTTATTTCCATTTTCTATTTAGGGAGTAGTTCCACGCAGTATTCCAATTAAGATGGTTCTAGCGATTTTACACCTTGAGCGGCCTTTCTTGCCGAAAACTTTTCGTATTCAACAACCTCTTTCTCATCTTTGTCGCATTCTGAGACTGTTATATGTACATCTTCACACTTGGGGGTTTGTGTTCTTCCACCTGACTTTCATACTCCCTACTTTTACCACAGTCATGTGCATTCGTGATTTCCCTCACACAGGATAGGAAAGCAATGAAAATCATGATAACTCCTCCATTGTGCCAACTAATAATCTTTCTTATCAATCGTCTCAGCGAGTTGCGTTTAACTGCCGTGCTGTGTCAGTTGAAGTAAATGTATTAAACGGAACCAAACGACATAGGAAGCTGATAGTGGATAGTCACCAGCACTGATATCATTGACACCCCTAAAGAACTGAGTGCGTACGACAACACACACCATGAGCGGAATGCCGAAAAACACTACTTGTTAAACAATTCGACTGAAACTCAGTGAATCATCTGAATAACCTCCAGTGTTCCAACAGGATTTCCCAAGTGTAAAATTTGAAATTTATCAAAAATGGGTGATGATGTAAGGACTACTGTCTTTAGCATAAAACCAAGGGGCGCTTTCTCTTGGTTTGTACGTGTATAATTCAATGACCATGTTTGCAGGAAGGAGGTGACCACTCTTTGGGATCACGTTCTAGGGTGCAATCACCGTGATCCCTTTAACTGATTACTGACTAAGTAAACATCAGTAACATTCGAATAGATTGAGGCAAAGCGTCTGAGTAAGTAAAAAGATATTTTTGCAAAACACATGAAATCCATAGATGTTACCTGTTTTAATGAAAACACTTGGTCCCTGGTTGATGGTGAGCAAAGAAATTTGCTTGTTTCAGACTGATAGAACAAAGCCGAAACGGCTACCTTTAAACCCTGTTGGAACACAATTTGCAAGTCTAATAATCGAACAGGTTACAAACAATAATTATAGGGCAACTAGCCAATTTACTCAAACCACTCCGCTACTTTGCGGGTAGGGCTTTGCCTAGACAAAAGCGCCGGTCGTGAGTCACCAAAAAGAATTAATTACCCGGCATCCGGCACAACCCTCATGTATTCTGCCCACAAACGAATCATAGTCCCATTTCTTTGTTATCAAGAGTGCTGCAACATTATTTGTTTGGCCCACAGTCTGGACTTGAGCACATGTGAAAGATACGGATACTGGTCGACCTCACGCAATATTACTCTCATTTTGAAAACACACTTTTCGGTTTCCATTATCATGCGTGTATATCGATAGCCAGCGATGAAGAGTAGTTGTTCCGAACTTTATCTCCTTCTTACGTCTCTCTCTCTCTCTTTATCTTCTTATTACATCACTTGTATCGCCGTTTAAATTTGCGTGACTTTAAGTGTCACGATAAAAAAATTGTAGTGGATCAGAGATGAAAAATATTTTATGCAAAGCAGCATGGGAGTTCATTCTTTCTACTCAATCATTGCTGTTTCATGAGGGTATTTATTCCGATCAGCTGGGGAAGTAATAGAGCAAGTGGATAAGTTTTGCTACTTGNCGCATACAGAAGGCTCGGTTGGCATTTGCCAACTTGAGACATCTGTGGCACCTTCGCGATATCCGGCTATCTGTGAATGGTCAAAGGGATGCTGCAGTAGTTCAACCAATCCTGCCATATGGAGCAGAAACTTGACCATTAAGAAAACAGGATAAAGGTAGACTGTCGTTGTTTGAACACCGCTGTCTACGCAGCATTGCACGAATCTGGTGGGGGGCAGCCGGATGAGTAATACTAAGGTTAGTCACAGAGTTTTATCTAAATGCGGTCGCCCATTGAAGCCAATGGTCGATCTCCATAGATTACGTTGTTTGGGGCATGTGTTACACATGTTATCAAATAGGTTACCACGGTGATGTTCGGCGAGGTAGGTAGTGGGTGGAATAAAGTCGGTGGTCAAGCGAAGACCTGCTGGCATGAGGGTATGAAAACCCTAACCTAACCAGGAGTTTGGGTCACATAGGTCCCTTTGGGCCCCCTTGGATGGGGACCTCTGAATGATCGTATTCAATAGTTAGAGACACGAAGTGATAAAGCTGTGTCGTAAACAGTGGCGTTCCTGCATCTTCTCAATTTCTCTGCAACATTGGTCCACTGAAATTCTCAATTTTTTCTCCAACTCTAACTCCAACCTTCCTGTCTTTCTCCTACTGTTCATCTAAACGGGCAGTCGGAAGACAGCAACCAAAACTGGTGCACGGTAGAACATGGTTAATAATTGCACAAACTGAACTGAAACTGAATGCTTAATCAAATCGGCTGATTACCGTCATTTTTTATGTTGAACAGAAGTACTCCAACCCTTATGACTCGCGGATCCCTGTGTAAGATTTCCCAGATTAAGTCAACTGTATGGTTTTTCACATATGGACACTTGTTTATAGTTTGTCAAGTTTACTTGGCTTGTTTTTTTTCTCGAACCAAATTTCCTCTGAGGATCAGAACACAAACTGAGTTTTTGTTGGTCTTCCCGGGGGGTGCGAATATGAATGTGGTGTGAGCGAGGAATTTAATTGAACGTAAGAAAAATTGCGAAAGTGGTCTGTGCTCATTCTGTGGATTCCCTAAGCCTTAGTTAAAAAATAAAATCTTCTATTTCCTTTCAGGGAACAGCTAGTTATCTTAGCTTGCTAAGAAGTATACAGGGATGGCTAAGTCGAGCATGACTGGTTGATTTCGAGCGCACCACACACAGAAGAAACCAGTATAATAGGCACCTTGGTTTGAGCGGCACATCTAGTTGTCTTGGCTGGATTAAAGAAGGAGTCCCAATGCTTTCAACTAAAATTGGAATACAAGAGTAAAGTTATAAAGCTTGCACACTAGAACACAACTCAAGCACCCCACGATTTCCACATATAAACCCCATATTTGTTTTGAACAAATATCACGCTATTCGCGTTTTGATCATTCCAATTACAGTTTAATCACTGATCTCTTGAAATTAATTACGTTTCCACTGCTGGGCAGTATTTTACCCATAAACAAATCATGGAACGTTTTTCTTTTTTTATAAAGATTATTCTACCGTGATTTGTTTGGCACACAGTCTGAGCACAGACTTGTGTGAAATGAACATACATACCAAATAGAGATGTTAAAATGAGACTAATTTGAAGTGAACCATTCCCGATGTTAATGTGGTAATTTGATTTTGATAAAAATAATCTGTTCTCCTCTGTTTGGCTATTTAATCAATCTGTAATCAGTTCCCAAAAATGCCGGTGAACCCGAGAAAGCACGTTTAGCCCACATGATGACGTACGGCGTGGATCCGCTGGCGAAAAAACCAGTGAAAGGATTAAACGACAGTGCGAGATATGAATATCGTCGACGACAATTGGAAGGAGTGAGGAAAATATCAGACGAGGAACAACAGAAGGATGTGACATCCGCGGAACGGTTCACGGAATGTACGCCATTGAATCCAATGCTGCTTTCTACTGGTTAACCATTGTTTTGCTCAATCTTCAAAACGATTGAGTTCAACTGAGTCTGTTGGGTAATTTGTTACAATAAGCAGGTTTTATTACTATCTATGTCAGTGTAGTCTATTGAAATGCGTATTTCGGTCATTCTCTATTTCACCTGTAAAATTTTATCTCTTTTTAGATTCTCTAAGAGTTTAGCACTGGATTAGAAACACCGTTGTGCAGGAGACATTTTCGTTGTCACCTATTGGACGGCTTTCCATCACACCATATAAGGAATCAAACTCACTGAAGTCGATGTGAGAAACTAAACTCCATTACCATCCGTGGTCTTTAACCCCGGGGATTGGTTGCACACTGGATACCAACAATGCAGTGTACTTTCAATCTCAATCATCACTTTAGAACCAACTCTCTGTTAAGGATGTAGACCGACAGATTGGTTTTGGGTGTGCGGCTCTTGTGATCCAAGCCGTGGTTGCTTCAGTTGGCTAACATCTGCATGACAAATTTCGGTTTTTGCNTTTTGCTAATCATGTCCCGAGTGATATGAGGAACACATTTATTTCGCCTTATTTTACATTTTTTTCCCAAAGGTTTTACTTCGGCTTTGTGTTAGAATCTCTATTTTGACGAGACAGGTATAAGTGCTTACAAACACAGACAAAAGATTTCCGTTGTCGATTTTTATCGATTGATCATTTTCATTTAAAGAAATGTGCTCGCGAAACGAAAGAGTTTTTCGATAAAACAAGTTNAAACAAGTTCTAATATTGATTGATTTGAACTGACTATCCTTCGGACATCACATTCACGCACAATCCTCAGTTCATCGATTCAACCATACACCCGGAAGCACTGGACTCGAGTTTCGGTTTTATTAGAGCTCATTAGTAGCGCATATCCACCGTCCCGTCCGGAATTTGTACTCCAGTTCTATGGCATGGAATGCTTATGCTATACCTCTGTGACAAACAGCTCATAATATGGCTGAACCGAGTTGCCAATTCATGTTTATTCAGATGTCTTCTTCAGTTCATTTGGCCCGACAATTCAAATCAATCAATGTCTATTATCCCACACCAATACTCATAAGTAACTGTAAGTTAAATACGAAGTTAGAATATCTCAGGAAATCTGTATTGCACTGTGTGCTCTCAATGTTGCCTTGTGAAAGAATGTACTGGCTACCGTGAGATTCGCATACACACCTGGTTCGTGCCCCCTGACAAAAATTACCACCGCTGCTACTGTCAACTACCATATATTGTGCTGTACTTAATAAATACACCATTGCCTTCAAACGAAGGCATTTTTTGATAGAAGAAAGCAATTCTACATTTGTTTTTGCTGTGTTTACAGTGTGTTTGCCAAACGATCTGTACGCTTAGGTGAAGTTGTTAATATGTGCTACGGATCAACTTTACACCGGGTTCGTATATCCGTTTGAATCCATTCTCACTGCCATTCACCGTAGGAACACGAATTTGTACAGTCCAGATATCTTTTCAACGGCTGAATTTACATGTGGCCGAGTCTTGCGATCAAGCATGAAACTTTGGTTAAAACATATCAGTGTAAACTTTTCATTAGCTCGCATAGGTTTCTTGCATATGTACATATCTGTGATTGGTTTGTGAGCCATCCATCGTTCAAAGGGAATCATAAACGATGTTGACAATGAAGCCCAATTTAAGACATAATCCGTGCGAAAATAACAAAAAACTGCCAAAAGATTTACTTGTTTCGTTCTTTATGTGAATTTTCTCCAGTGATTCGTGAGGTGAAAGAACGACGAGAGTTCCTTCGTACAATGTCCGAATATGGTCAGGATCAAGCGTACAGAAATGCAATAGAAACAGAAATTTCACAGGTAGAATTGGATTGATGTTTTCGCTCTTTTCTGTGTTTGTTCATTTTTACTTGGCTTACCGGTTTGGCAACCGTTTCATGATTTCTATTCATAAGTAATCATTGTAACTCTGACTTTAGATTGTTTCATCGGAGGAATATGGTCGGAATTGATGGATTTCCTCCTGCGTAAACGTATCAAACTGAAACACACTGGGCTATGAAAGCATGATATGGATGGTTGGATTGACGTGGTAGTCAGTAGTCTAGGATTATTTCTCCCCCAAATTCGGCGGTACTGAGAACAGTAGAGTTTCAGTTTTTTGTCCTTTTAGCAAATGATTGTGGTCCTTGAAAATGATTAGATTGATATTACCTGTGGATAGTTGAACCCTTTTTGTCACGCTTTAGTCATTTGTTTTCACACACGTCTGAATCCAGACTGTGAGCTAAACAAATCATGGTACAATAATCTTCATGAAAAAGAAAAGCATGCCATGATTTGCATGTGGGCGGAAGACTGCCAGACCAAAAAAGGTGTATTTTCTTGAGGAATCCACAACCGAAACCCTTGGCTAGCCAAAGCCTGACCCGCAAGGCAGTAGGGCGGTATGTGAAAACTGCAATCCATTGGGGGCCGGTGTCCAGTTCATCGGATCATTCGTCCTTTGGATGGGTTCAAACGTCCAAGGTGCCCAATACATCTTGATGCCCAATTGATCCCTTGACCACTACCACACCGAGAAGGGTGTGAGTGAGTATGGTTCGTGCACCTCTTCTTGGTTGATTTGGAATCAGTGATTAATTTAGAAACACTTATCTGACCGAAATGAACCTCATGAATAAAAAAAATATTTTTATGACCCTTTTCTTCAACTGTTTCTTTTCTAAATGAAACCGGTGTCTTTGGTCACCAGTTGCCTTGAGATTAGTTAGACCTGACAAAACTGTTTAATTCGCAGCACTTCAAAGTTTGCGCTTTAATTATTTGTCTCCTGATTTCTCTACGCACATATCTGTTTCTCTTACTGGAAGCTCTGTTTCATTTCATCATTTCAGTTGGTACGTGAAATGGAAGAGATGGATCGTCGCGAAACGATGAAATTGAACCAGGCATTGAAGGCGAATGATGAACGTGAAGCTGATGAAGAATAAAAGGATGGTTTTAATTGTACAGCGCGCGCTTTTGGTTTGTTCTAGGTCATTGCTGGAAATTGTACACGGTGCTTATCTATTCATGAATTGAATAAAAGCAAACTGGAATGTCTTTGTTTCCGAATTGGGGACTGTGACATCAGTTTCAGGTTTTTACAATCATTAACCCTGCACTGTCGTGCGCTGGTTTGGGTTGCTGTCTTTTGGCTGCCCATTTGGGTAAAAGTGAAGAATGAATATTGGAATATAGAGTTAAAATGAACCTAGAGAATTCGTACAGACTGGGGTTGCAAAAATGTCGAGTAAATGAATGACACTCAACTATCACTGTGACTGTGAATTGATCCATATAGAATCATTGCGTTAGGGTATGCTCTCACATACTCTTCATAATCCTCAAAATTGAAGAATATCCTTGTTTTTGGAATACTGTGATGGAGATAGATCTATTGATGTCTTAATGAGTTTGTGTGTGTTTGAAGTTTGGTAAGTCCAGGAACCTGGAACTCATGCATGCATAGACACTGCGTTTGTCTTATTACAGATGAGGTTTGGGGTCACCTAGATAACTCTAATCCTTCCCTGTTCAACCACTGCCTTTGTGAGTTGAAGCAGAAGACCGCTGGTTTAGTTAACTGAAGAAACGAATGAAAACCGAGAAACGGTAGTGAGAATTGCATAATCAAGAACGGATCCAATGTCACAGGATCATACACCTATGGGAAGTGACAGAACTGGTTAAGCTCCAATGAAATTAATCAAATATTCCTGTGTTTTGATAACGCTTTTGTCTCACATGTTACTTCCTTGCTTTCTAGTCGAACAAAGAAAGACCAATCAGGTCGGTGCAGGAAGATGCAAGTTTGGTTGTTGTGCAAACCGAAAATGAACGTAATTTGTTCCACCGTCNAGGTTGTTAACAAACTCCCTAGCGGAAAGCTATATATGATGTACAGGTCTAATCAAAACTGAAGCAACGGGTTCCTGTGAAACACTCGTCGGTTCGCATAGGCAACAGCATTTATATTGAAGCAAATTTTTTCCAAGTAATAATAATCAAGCCTTGGTGAGTCTTTATAGAAGTGATTTTTCTGATTCGTTTATACGCAGCAGATGGAATGGTTCCGAATGTAGAAGATACTCCCATTTCATCAGTAGTGGTTGACCTAGACATAGATGAGTAAAGGGGTAACTAAAGAGAATGGAATAGTTTTTATTTACAACAAATTAACACTGTTAATAAGTAAGATGTAAAGTTTGTGTACACTAATGGTCGATTGACCTGCCTTTGTTCTTTTTCGAGTCTTTTCGGCATCGAATCCATCAACTTTGTTATGAAGTCATTTTCTACTTTGTGCTCCATTACATATCACACTTTTGCCTTCAATCTCCAGTGTATAGGTAGCATATTGACCTCTCTCTTCGAAACAGAAAACAGATTTTCAATCCCATTGAGATCCGGGCTATTAGAGGGAAGGTACATGAACTGGACCTTAGAGTCACGCATCTTTTCTGACGTTTAAAAGCAAATAATGAGTGAACCAGTACCCTTAACTAAATAAATTTACTAAGCAGAAGAGAGTATGAATGGTGGGGAAGATCTCCGCGTTGGATAAACAACAACGAATTTCTGCAATGCTCTTTTCAGAGTAATACGAATTAGGTCTTACTCCTGTTTGGATGTACTCGGTTTGTGGCCTCCACAAACTGTTCTGATAGTTATTTTCCCACGGATTATCCTGTAAATTGTGCATCTGTTCACGTTAAACCATTGGGCAAGATTGAATATGGAAAATCCCAGCCTGTGCGCTTGTGCAATTCTATTTCTGTCCTCTTCACTAAGATAAGGAGAACTTTTGCTTTGGAGCGCTGCTTGCATCATTTTGGTGACAAGAATACAAACACTCAAAGCTGTGCGCAAAATGATCTTGATTTCAAGTTTAACTTTGATTAAAATGGTATTTCTCGAATTCAGTGAGTTAGAGATTAAACATAGATTACTATTATGAAATCTCATTTATTGCAATTTCTCCGGGTTGTGGAAGAATTTCATTTGGTTATTCAATAGATTTGCTATAATGTATATTATATATAATGTATATATTATGTATAATACTGCTTTATAACAAACAATCGAGATGGCAAGGGTATATGGAAATAATTTGGAATAATTCTTGCATTTTCATACGTGATAAAGTTTGCGATTTTTATGTTGAGAATATCTTGGCAACCAAGGTCAAGCACATTTAACTGACACTCATGCAGACTAGAAACTACTTAGATCGAAGTGGACAATATATAATTTTTTGTCAAAATCTACAACGTTAATATAGGTGATACATAAAAATAAAATATTTTAGTGTATCACACTAGGTCACTACTGTACATATCCACACTTAAGATCTTTAAACATACACCCTGATGATGGGTTATATTGAATTAATTGTCTAACACGTCCTGGCCTGGAAAGCGATCACAAGTCAAATCTACACACGTACCAACCATCTTCCTAGCAGACTCGTTTAGTGCTGCGTAAACAGTAGTGTTAGAACATCGAGAGTACGCGTGTACCTGTTGGAGTAATGACCGTGAAGCTTCAACGATTAGGATTGCCGAAAATGATTCATTGGTGGAAAAATATCGATGCTAAATTTTTTGGGACCATAATACCGTTATCCGTGCATCATCTTGGTCACTGTATTCAAGCATGATGGTCTAGGCGAAACTTAAAATGCAGGGGGGGAAGAACAATCCGTTACAAATGTAGATGCCTCGTTGTGTCCCTTTGTGGTGACTAAGATAAGAACCAAATCAAATAATGGTGAACTGATACGTAATCGAACAACTGACCGTTTCTTTGGCCGGAATCAGTTTTCGATTTCAGAATGGGTCCTTTCTATGTACGGCTGTTTCTTTTGGTTTTAAAACTACCAATCACAGCCCCTACCCCTCACCACCGCAACCACTGAAAGAACACATTCGCAACACTAAGTAGTAAATGCTTGACTGGACAAAATTTCCATGACAAAATGCAACAGGTTTACCGAATACGCATACGGTGAATGTGCGGTGACAACGAGGAGAAACAGAAGTGAGTTTCGGTTTAATATGTACAGCGGAGCAACTAGTGAGGAGGAAGCGTCTGAAAATCTAAATCCTGTAACTGGTGAAATAAGAAAAACACCCTTTGTGTGATGTTGCCAGATAAAATATTTTGTTGGTGAAATCAGTTGCACGCTTTTCCTCAGTTTTTTACATCTATTTGAGTTCTTCGTCAACCCTAATCCGGCGATGCGATATACTCAAGATGTGTAGGTTCATTTTGCCTTTGAGAATATTGTTGAGTAGCTACTTGAATTTTATGAGTAGTAAGAACTGTGAAGTAAAATGATATACTCAGATGAAACCTGTACTGTGTTGATAATGCCATCCAAAATATACGGTCAATCTCCTGCTAAGTCGCACCCAAGAGACGTTGCATTTTTCAATATACTATCACTTTCAGCAAACCAAAGCTAAAAGTATGTGTAATAATATAGGTCCTGACCATACGATTTCGCCTCCTCGACGTGTCGCACTTCCTGATAATGGCTCTCTTGCTCGTTGAATCATGTATTGGGTGTACATTGGTGTATATTCGGATGTGGAATCAGCCCTGTCCTTGTATGATGATTGAGATATTGATTTTCCACCAGGTGGTGCACTGTAGGCCCCTGAGTATGCAGACCACATTGTACTTGTAAGTGCAGATCGAGGAAAGTTGCAAGGTATTTGGGAAGGTTTGAGTGTTAGTGTAGCCACGCGTAGAGTGGGCATGCGTTTTACATCTTTAAAATGTGATATGTTGCTACGGTGCTGTATTGGACCGGCCCAAAACCTCACTCTAACTAAGGAAGTAACAGAGGAAATATACAAATTTTGTTATTTGGGCAGCTATATCTCACCCACGGGAGCATCACGGATGAGGTATCGGCACATCTAGCGAAAGCTTGATTAGTATTTACCAAAGTGAGACCTCGAGACATCAGTCCGTAAAGGACTGAGCGTATGGTGCAACAATTTGGCCAATGCTGCTTTACGGTGCAGACACCTGGGCATTACGGAAACATGATAAAGATAGATAGATATTTGGTGTTCGAACACCGCTGTCCACGCAGCACTGCACGATTTTAATGTGGAAACCGGACAGGTAATGTGGAGTTTCGGGTAAGCGCGGTCGCCCACTGAAGCAAATGGTCAACCTCCATAGATTACGCTGGTTGGGACATATGTTGCTTAGGTCACCAAATAGATTGCCACTGAGCACAATGTTTGCCGAGGCAGTTAGTGGGTGGAGAAAGCCAAGGGTGGTAGACATAAGACCTAGCACGAGGTTTTGAAAACCCCGACCAGGAGACTGAATCATGTAGGTCGCGTTAGGCTTCCGGGATGGGGAACTCGGGATGATCGTACTCGATGGTTAGAGACACTGGGTGATATGTCTGAGTGTCATAAACAGTGGCGTTCGTGCATCTTGTCAGTTTCCCTGCAACATTAGTCCACTGAAATTCCAAATTTTTTCTTTGACTCTACTTTCAACCTTTCATGTCTTTCTCCTAAAGTTCATCCAAATGGGCCGCCAAAAGACAGCCCTAAAGTGCACGTTTACCTTTTGTGTTTTATGTTGTAAAAACTGAAAGTCAAACTGTACGGGCCGGCTAGTGACTAATCAACTTGCAATATGGCATTCAGTTAATGAGGTTGCACCCAGTGTGATACACACGCAACATTTTTCACTGATTAGAAAACCCTGGTCAATAAGGCATGTAAATTTTATCATTATTGGACCTGACAAGCACCATTCGATTAGAGAAATGCAGACGGGGTTGGAAATGCCTAGTGCAACTCAGAGCCATGTTTCGAAGTCACATGGTATTTGAAGAAAACTGTATACATACATTATGTTTGATCCCATCGAATAATTGCCGGGAAATTTGTCAGCACTGGTACATTTCAGGATA